GATGCGTAACTAAAAGTAAGACTAATGGAAAACTAAAGGAAAACTAAAAGCGAACTACTGTTTTACATGATTCTATTACTTCCTATTTATAATAAATTAATACATAGATAGATATAACACATAAATTAAATATATCTTATATGTCCAATATGTCCAAGATATCAATTATATCAAATACGTCCGGTATATCAAATATATCAAATATATCAAATATGTCTGACATTTAGATCTGCAATATGCTGCGCCACGTCTATCAATCCAATCCTGTTACAATACCTAAAATCACTAAGTGTATATTCTAAGAATTCTCGAATCATCCAATGAATAATAAACAAAATGCCTGTGGAAGAATTTTATATAAATGTGTTAGTACAAAGAATGGAATAATCAAAAAGTCAAGTTCAATATTTCCTACTATCAGCTTAAAATACCAGTTGAATCTCCTATTTAAAAGAAAAGAATTTGAAGAATCTTGTAGAAAGTGGGTTAATCGTCCTTTTGATCCAGAGATTCTTGCTGATATATATGATGAGAGAATATGAAAATCTTTTAAAGATAAAAATGATTCAATCTTTTTTCAGCCAAACTTAGCAGATACTCATATTGGAATAATGCTTAACATAGACTAGTTCCAGCCCTTTAAAAACTCTTAATATAGCATAAGAGCAATCTATGCTATAATATGCAACTTGCCTTGTAATGAACGATTTAAGCCATCCAACATATTAATGTTAACAATGATTCTGGGTCCAAAGGAACTAAAACTACACCAAATAAATCATTATTTAGCCCTTTAGTTAATCAATTAGTTGAATTATGGTGGGAAATAGAATTACCAGAAACTTTCAAAAATCCCAACAGAAAAATGATCAGAGGGGCCATTATTTGCTATGCTTGTGATATACCTGCAGCAAGAAAGCTATGCGGGTATATATCTGCGAGAATTGTGTGTCACTGATATCTTAAATATGCTAATTTTAATGAAAAAACTAGCCGAATTTTGGAGAATTGGCTAATATGGATAGCTGGTTTATAGAAAGAAATGTTGAAAAGGTTAAAAAAAATGCTTTTGAATAGAAAAACTGTAAAGTGAATGAGCAAAGATGAAAACATGTATCAGAAACCTTTATACAATGGTCTAAGATATATCACTTATCTTACTTTAATCCCATACAATTTCTAATTATAGATCCTATGCATTGTCTTTTCCTCAGCATTGCAAAGTGGATTGTAACGAGACTATAGATTAAAGAAAAAAAGCTCATCCCATCTGATCTTGCAATTATGCAAAAGAGAGCTAACCAAATACAAATACCAACTGATATTGGTAGGCTTCCAAGCAAGATAGACATAGAGAAAGTTTTTCCAGTTTTTCTGCGAACTAGTAGAAAACATTCATATTAATATATGTGACAACCATTACTTGTGATTTCTTGAAAGAAGCTGATCAAAAAATTCTGGCAAATTTTGTCCGTACCTGCAACATTTTAGTGTATAGAATAATATCAAAAAATGATCTAATAGAAGCCCATCAGCATTTAGTAGGAATGGTTAAAGAAATTGAACGAACATACAGACCTAAAAAAATTTCTCCAAATTTACATCTATGCATACATTTATGTGAATGCATGTTGGATTATGGTTCTTTGTACGCCTTTTAGTATTACTCAATGGAAAATATGAACAGATTATTAGGTAATCATCTTATTAATATTATTGTTCAATACTAGCATTTACTGAATATCTAAATACTTTAGAATTATTTAATAATAGCCATAGAAAGATCAAACCAGAGCTTATAAAAGTCATTCAAAATAATACTCTTTTGGATGAATTAACATCTCATATTGAATAGAACCAGCATTTTCAAGAAAATCTTGAAATATTAAAACTGAAAGATTCAGTTAGAAGTCTTTCTATATATGATGAATATTCTGATGAAGAATATCAAATATTCTGTCTACTATCAACGAAAATAGAAGGTGCAGCTTATGGTTTTGAAACATTTTCAGGCTCTTTTCTAGACCCATTAAAATAAAATGTGACACTGCAGCAAGAACTTCAAAAGTTATTAGCTGATTTTTATTATAACATATATAATAAAGATTTTGTTATGTTGTCACGAATTTATAATACTTCACATTCTTCTATTCCTGTTGATCTAAATGTTAATCAATTTAGCTGATTAAGAATTGGAACAGAAGTGTTTGAGTCAATCTTATCTTCTCGACATGTCAAATCAGCAAAAATATTGGCCTGTTTCTTTATGAATGATGATAATTCTGACGTATACCCTAGTCATGTCTAATTTTATTTCGAATACACAATTCATCTACTGGAGGAAAAAACACATTATTTAGCATTCATTAGATAATATAAACTACCTGAAAACCACAATATTAGATTCCACTGTAAAATAGATGATGATAAATCCTGCAACATTGAATTATGAAAATCAGAATTCTATGAAGTTGGAAGAGATTGTATTATTCCTATCCACAATATTTTATGTTGATTTGTTTCAGGAAGTTTTGAAGTCGGTCAAAGAAAATCAAAAAAGTACATGTCAATTATTCTAATAAATAGAAAATTTCATATTTGATTATTAATAGTATGTGCGTTTTTATTTTTCAAGAGAGAGTTTTTTTATTACGAGAGATTTTAATGTTACATTTTATTTTAATTTAGGTTTTGTATTATATTCTAATATATTAATTGGGTTAATTAAGTAATACATTTTTGAATTATAAGATAATTGCAAATTATGAGATAATCGTAGCTTGTAACTAACTCTTAGTTAATACAGCAATAAATATATATTATTGATTAAAAAAATTTTGTCCCAGTAGTTGGATTGTGAAATATAATTGTTCTATTTTTTTAAAAAAAAAAATATTAATCTAAAACTTTAATAAAAATTACTATATATTAACCGATCTGGTAGAGTAAATCAGAAAGCTATCGGGTATCTGATAGGACAATAAATTTTAGAACACAGGATCTATCAGATTATTCTATAAAATTCTGAAACTTACCTGATTTTTCTTTATAATATCGGGTCCTATATTTAAATATCATATGATAACAATTATATCGATACTTTCCTGATATAGCTATATCAAGTTTCAGCAAATATCGATTTCTGATTTATTCTAATATTTGTCTAAAACTTGATAATCTGATACTTCTTTATTCGACCTGTGTTTATTGAATTGAATGATTAAATCTTAATAATTTTAATTTATTTGAAAGATTAGAACCTTCTAAATCTGTTAATTAAAGTTTAATAGGAATTAGATTAATAAATATTAAGATATTTATATTTAAAGTTCATCATAGCAAATTAAAACTTTGTATTTTTTGTTTTTTACTAACTCTTAAAGTTATTTTAACATTTTATAATTTAATCATAATGAATTTTAGCTTATTTTAAAGCTCTTATAAGATTGAATCTAGTTATTTTAAATTGGTATTTTAATGTTATTTTATTTAAGAATTTTAAGAATTTGTAGTTTAAATAATTGATTTTGAATACTTATAAATAATCCTATTTTTTTATATATTAACATATAGTTTTCTTATTTCTATTAGATTTTTAGATGAAAATATTAGTGTTCAATATTTTTACTATTAGACAGTTCAGTTTTAATATTTACATCTATTTGAGATTTTTTTCATAATGAGTTTCAAAATAATTATTTTTAGTTTTTTACAAATTTCACTAGATCAAGTAATTAGATCTTAATGATTTTTAGTCTTATCTAAAAAATTAGTATCTATTGAATCTGCTAATCAAAGTTTAATAAAAATTAGACTGGTAAATATTAAGATATTTACATTCAAATTTTATTATAGCAAATTAGAATTTCATATTTTTGTTTTTTCTTTTTTTTATTCCCTACCCTTCCTTTATATTTATTTATTTTTTTAAATTTAAAACTTTTATTTAATATTAATTTTTTATTTTTTATATATTTTTTAATATATCAATTGATTTTTAAATTTTTTTAAATTTTTTTATTTCTCCTCTTATTGTTAAAATTAGACTTTGTCTAATTCTAATAATAAATTATTAAACTTTAGACCTAATAGAGATATTCAGCTAATTTTAATTTAAATAGATTAATTTAAACCAAATTATGAAATAAAGTTTTGGCATTTTTGATATTTTATTATTAAAGACTAAATATTTCAGTTTTACCTAGTATTATTAATAAGATATATGTGTTACAAAATAATATCATTTGTACTGATCAAAATTAAAAAATCAAATTTGCAAAAAATTAGCCTAAAATTAGCCTAAAATTAGCAAATTATTAAAAAACAGCTTAGCTAATTAGCATATATCAAGAATTGATTAAAATTTAACTAAAATTTGACATATCTTATTTATAACCAATTGGTATATTTATAGTAAAAACTTTTTTATTCTTTTAGTATTATATTTCATTTACCAAAAAAATTTTATTTGCATTTATTTTTATAATTAATTTTTCTTAAATAATTATGATTTTCTTTTTATGTTATATTTTCTTTTTCATCTTTTCTTTTTAATTTTTTTGTTAATACAAATTATATATATTATATATTAAAGTTGAAATACAGTGATATTGAAGTTATATTTAAATAATACAAATTTTGAGTTTTTTATCAAGATGTAAATGAATTCATGTAAAAATATGAATATTAATAAAAGATTTTAAGTTAATATTATACAAAATTAATACTTAAAGAAGTAAACTTTAATTTTTTATTTTTTTTATTTATAAGGTATTCTTCAAATATATGAAAACTTCAAAATAATAAAATAAATAGAATATTATGTGTTTATTTGTTAAGTATTGAATTTTAACATATATTTTATTTATTTGTAATATTGTAAATTTTGTAAATAAAATCACACATTCATATTTACTATGTGAAAAATTTTTTATATGATAATATTATAATATATACAAACAATATTACAGCTATATTTTATTTAATATATATAAATAATATTGCAACTATATTTTATTTATATGTTAATAATATTATAAACTTTATATAAATTTCAATATATGTAAATAATATTACAATTATAATTATTTATATATTAACTATATTACAAAATTTATTTGAATTTCATTATATATAAATAATATTGCAATTATATTTATTAAATATTAATTATATTTATATTATATTATATATTTTATAATATATTAGATATATAAATACTATCTATTAATGATATTTTTAACATATTTTTAAAAATTAAAGATTTCTGTAAAATAGGTAAAATTGCTATTAAAAAGTATAATTAATCAAGTATAAAACTTATTTTTTACAACTATTTATAATTACTTGAAACTGTTTAACTCTTATATTAATTTACAATTCATTTAATTATTAATAACCTGTTATATAACATTGTATTGATTTACTATTAATATGAAATCTTTAAAGTGAAAATATCTTTATAATTATTTTTGTATTTTTATTAAGATAATCTTTAATGATACAATAAATCTTCATTTATGATTCTTTGAGTAATTGTCATAGTTTAATTTAACTTTTCTGTAAATTTATTATAAATTTTAAATTTTATATAATAATGTGATAAATATTAAATTGATTTAAAAATATAATCATATATTAATTAATTATAGGTTTCTGCAAAGTAGGATTTTAAAGGTATTTAAATAATAATAGTAATTTAACCTTTTATTAATAAATAATATATAATAGGAAAGAATACTAATAAGTTCAAAAATTTACAAATAAATTTCTAAATATTAAGATTTAAAATATTGCATTAAAATTAAAATCTTTTAATTTTTCATATTTGTAATTTAAATTTTAAAATTTTTTTTTAGTAATTACATTTATTAAAAAATTTAAAAATAAAAAATCAAAAAAAAAAAAATAATTAAATTAATAAATAAACTGTAATAAAATTAGAATATTAATTTGTTATAGATTTTATAGATTATTAAATATAATTTATTTAATAGTTAAAAATTTCTAATAATCAATTCGTCATAATTAGATAAGTTATTAGAGATTTATTAGGATAATTTTTATTATAAACATAGCCACAATATTTTTTTTTTTGTTATTTAATAAACATTATTTTAATTGGAACGACTTTGAACCTTATCCCTTATCAAAATCCTTTAAAAATCTTAGCATAAATCTTTTCAAGAATAAATGCTTCTGCCGGTATACGTTTTTTGGTTGTTAAAGAAACGTTCAATTTCAATAGCAGAATATATTTCATCCCTTCTTTGTGAGTTCCATTTTAAACCATGACGAGATTTGCAACTTTTATTAAATGTTGAGACATAATCCCGATTTATAATGATTTGTGATTAACATAATCATTAATTTTATCATTTCGCGTAAATTTTACTAAATAAAGTAAAATTCTAATGAAGAAAGAAGTCCATAAGATAATGAATGAATAATTATTATGATATTCTCTTTGTGCTAGGTGGTACATATTATCATATTGACCTCCAAAGCTTTGATAACCGTATATCACGTCCATTTTTATTGATTAATTTCTTTCTCGATTAAGCTCGAATTTCGGCGAATTTTCAGCTGTGTTTCTAATATTTTTATTAAAGGCAAAACATAACCTGCGTGAAATTTGTTTCCCATTTTGAGGTATCTTCAAAGATGAATTGCGTGTAACAAGAAGGCTAGATTTTCTTTAGAGCAATCCAAAAGGTATATAAGAATTCTCCAATAATTCCTATGTCCCATGCAATATTCCACACTATCATTTGCAATTTTATTGTTTTTTTTTTTTGTAAAGGGAAGATTAGTACAGAAGGTACCCAAGCGCCAATTATGGAATACGAGAACTCTGTATGAAGTAGGAGATAAATTGCGAAGATTATATTGATATCCCATTTACTTCTTCCCCAATGTATCCCATTTCGTCCTTTTGAGCTTAAATGTTGCTTAATTGGATCTGTATCTAATTTCACATTTCCCTTTCATCTTCATCATTTCTGGCAACGAAGTCAG